ATAGTAAATAAGTTATCATTTAGACTTGAGCCAGCACCTCTTTCTCTTTCAAAATGTGATATGGATGGAGATGGGGGAACAGTTACAATATTATAAGTAGTAAAGCAAGACTGCTTAAAATAATACCTCAGGACATTATCATATGCAAGACATTATCTTATGCACCTAAATCTTTAACATTTTTTAGTGGCCATTTATTCAAAAAATATTTTTGGAAACCAATGATTTTTTTTTAAATCTAACGGATTTTACTGATGGTCTCGGTATTTTGGTACATCTGTCTGTTTCCAAAAATATTTTTCGAATTCGTCTAGTTACTAATGAATTCAAAAAATATTTTAGGAAATTTTTAAACAGTTAGATGTACTAAAATACGACGACCATCAGGGTACGCAGTGTGGATATTCCATGTTAGTAATGTGACAGCGATACTCCCAAACGTCGAGCGCAGTTATGATAGGCCCTTCAATCTTGGGCTGCATGTCTCCAGTTGGCACCCATCGCCTTTTCAATGTTTTTGCACCCATTTTCAGATATATATATATATATATATATAAATTATTGCAAAAGGTCAATCATAATCTTTACTGGAAATAAGAAATAATTTTTAGGCTGCATTTGCATGAAATACACATGAACCCTTCCCTCCCCCTGAACCGAACTCAATCTCGTGTTACCTTTGCTTGTGCAACTTTTTCTTCAAGCACGACCATTTGCTCAGCGCCTTTTTCAGTTTCTTTTTGAAAATTCGACAGATCTGCCTCGTCTTCACCGATTGCTTTTTGCAAAGAAGCGATTTCCTCCCTGTTAAGCAGCTGATAATGTTAGAAATGATAATAACTGTAACTGTGAGAATAATGATAATTCTAAAGTAATAGAAAGATTGTGTTAAAAAGTTGCATCGTACTCTCAAGAGCTCATTGGAAGTTGGCACCGGAAAGCCTACCTTAACGTTTCAAGAGCGACCTTTGCTTTTTCGAAAATACTTTTAACGCTTGCTAACTCTTTTTCTGCGGCAGCTAACTCCTTCTGTGCTTCTTTTTTCTCTTTTTCCTGTAATATGTTCTTTTTCCTGTAATATGTACTTCGTTAACAATGAACAAAAGTAACTACTGCCCACTACAAATGCCAAGCAAAAACCGCTTTCCAAGGATTAAACTGGCTTAGGGATCGCAAGCTAGCGAAACTTGAAATTGAATTTTGAATCGATACTGGTCAGTCAAAAGAAACAAGAAACTGAGCATAAACTCTACTCGAAACATTTTTTCGTTCTTTTTTCGCTCACTCAGCAGTGTTATTTTTTCTTCCAATTTCTTCCGTTCCATGGCTCCATTTTCCACTGTTTCACGATACTGCGGCAATTCCTTAAAAATACTGTGATCAAAAAAAAAAAATCAAATTTTTTCAATATTTCACTCGCTACAAGAGACAGAAACACCATAGTGAAAACACACTACCACCAGCAACTATTGGCTGGTAAGGCTTTAGTGGCTTCTTACGAGAGTTGTGTGGAAGACAGATGACTGTTTCAACACCCTGGCAAGAACTATTACCAATTTCCCACTATAGCAAGGTACCAAAACGAGAACAGATTGGACATCTCATCTACAGGTTCGATTTATTGAATTATGTCAAGAACATTCTTGCGAAATTTCAGCTTTCTAGCTTTTGTGGTTACTGTGTTGAACAATTCGAAAAATACAGACATCCACACAGTGCAAAAAAAAACCCTGCGAATTCTTGGACAATCAAATTTTGGTGTTTCCTTTATTTATTTATTTTTTGTTAATTTACTTTACAAAAATTCAAAAAAGTAGAAAGCCGCTCGACATACCGCTTCAATGTCAGCAATTTCATTGCGTAGTATCTGAGCGGCACTGTGCTTCAAGCTTTCATGAATCGCTTGCAGACGCCTAGAGTACTGTCCATGCTGGCCACTCAATTCCGAATATTGCTGTCGAATCGACGCAAGCGCTTGCAACCGCTCTGGAGGTAGATTCAAGTAATCGTAGAATCAAGCTTAAAGGGAAAAAAATTTCGCTTTTTTGCCTTCCTTTCCTCTTTCTTCCCTTAATCCCTTTACATAAATTTTGCTGGGTCATACACGCCCTTCCCCCACCCCCTCTCACCTTCTTTCATACAGCTAAAAGAAAAAATATGGCTTCTTTCCTTCCTCCACGTCCCTCAAAAGCCAATTGCAGCAAGCCCACGACGTTCGCGCTTAACTGTTCTTAGAGCCCTGACATTACTTTTTGCTACTACAATCCAGCGTCAGTATAAAAGCTTAGCTGGACAACTTGTAGACTGATGCTGTCAGTTAGCAGGTCCACTAAAAAAGATGCGTGATTCAAATTTGATCAGAAAATCCTAAAATTCCATGTGCACTTTAAGGTTTCCTTCATTAAGTTACATCACACCGACTTTTCTGTCTAAAAATTCATGAAATATTCAGCTGGAAAAAGCTCAGGAAAAAAAAATACACTGTACCATCCAGATCACGCAGTCGATGGTCGATTTCCGTGAGACGATCGATGTTGTTCAAAGTAGCGTCCAAAGAAGCCAACAAAGCAGTTTTATTACCACGGGAACCTGCGATAATTTTCTTTTGTATTTTTAGCACTGTTAAAGAAAATTAGCTCCACTAAAAATACATATTTTGAAAAAATAATGACATCAAAAGAAACATTAAAAACAAACCGCCTGTGAGCACACCTCCAGGATTGAAATCCGAGCCAGCCAACGAGACTGATCTGGCACTGATTTGCGGATCGAATGTTACCTTAAAAAAGTAAAATTTATGTCAAATTTCCGGCAGACTGTAGTCGAAAGAACAGTAAGCCTATCAATAGTCCAACTGGTCTTTTTTAATATCAAAAAATCGGCGGAAGCCCAGGATAATAGTGAAGTTTAAGTCTAGCTGCGCAAAAATCGTAATCTTTCCATCAACAGAAAACAGTGTTTAGCTACTGTTCAAAGAAACAGTAGTATTTGTCACACAGACGCTGCTCATCATGGTGCAGTGATGTGCGACGCTGTTCACATACTTGAGCTAGATCGCTATGTGTATTTTCTGAAAATGCCGCTGCAGAAATCAATTTCCCAAACATTCGCTAATCTGAAATTCCGCGTGATACCAAAATTAGGTCAATTTTAGCAGATCTTTGAAAAGCCACTGTATTTTCTTTGCTGATGGATATTCCTGGCAAGAAACCACGCCTCTTTCGTAATATGAATAGCAAAAGAAATATTTTATAATCATGGTTTTGATTCTGAACTTTTAAAAATGCATTTCGATTTTTAACAGCTCGACTAATCCGAAATTGTCCAATCTCAGTTTTATCCCCACTAGAAGTGACTTTCCTCCATTGTGAGATGATGAAGTGTACGGAGAACAAGTGAAAAGCGCCAGAACAAGTCAGAACGATCTAAAAGCGATTAGCAGCGAGTTTCCTCACCCCTTCCCT